AAATAATGCCATAAGGGGATGGGTGTTTTCTCTCTCTCACAGATAAACAGACTTGATAAAAATGAACTAAAAAAAGAAAGAACTCGAATATAAGACAGGAATATTAACATGACGCCTGACGCACGATGTGAGTGGGCGCTAACACCGACTCAGACCTTTCCTCAGTTGATCTCAATGGGTAACATTATAGGGTAAGTCAAGGTCTCACAATGGTTTCACCCAAAACTTCTTGGCTCTCCACCATTTGGTGTTAGACCTGAAGAAGCTTCCAGATGACAAGTAAAATGACGTCAAGAAAAGTCCACTTTTTTTCTTTCTAAGCTCCTTTGATGACCATGACCTGGATACGTGAGAAGCTACACAGACTTATACCAACTGTATCTTTTCAAAGTACAATGACTTCAGTGACACAAAGAACAATAGCTGAATAACACTTTAAACCTTTAACTGCGTTTTTCTTAATGCTGATATGCGGATGTGGAGGGTGAAGGTGACGGTGGTCCCAGTGGTAATCGGAGCACTAGGTGCGGTGAGTCCCAAGCTAGACGAATGGCTCCATAAGATCCCAAATTCTGTCCAGAAGAGCGCAGTCCCAGGAACAGCTCAGATACTGCGCAGGACCCTCAAGCTCCCAGGCCTCTGGTAGAGTACCCGAGCTTGAAGGATGAACCGCCCGCAGGGGCGAGCTGGGTGTTGTTTTCATATTAATTATTAGTAACATATAAATAATAACAGCTTGACAATAAAATAAACCCTTATAATTAACTTTATTTAGTAATATTTAAAAACAAAACCTGAGTAGATGTTTCCGTGGTAATATTTACTTAATATATTTATGTAATTATATTTACAGATCACAAAAGTCTTCTGAAGTCTAAGTAATTCAAACAGTTAGGGTCTCTTTTTACAAATCCAATGGTTCTTCTTGTCACAGCTCACTGATTTAGGGAGGAGGCTGCTGAATCCAGCTGAGGAACAAACAAGTTTGATTAAAGCTCATAATTATTGACATAAAACAAAATTGATTTATCCCAGATTTGGAAAAATATTTTAAATCTTTATTGTTTCAAAGTTTCTCTTACTTATCAGTCAGATCTCTTCCATCCCCCCATAACCCCCATCCCCCCGGCCTGAGCGATGCGGTCCAGCAAATCAACCAACCCCTTCATCTCAGTCTCAAAATCCGAGGTGGAACAGTCTGCGGGGTCCATGTTCTGGTCACTTCTTCCATCAAATGGTTGGTCTTATATCTATACCTCCCTCACACCCAACCATACATCACAGCAGTTGTTCTGTTTTTGAAGTATAATTCAGCCATTGTCTTGTAGAAGATGTCACTGCCACCAGTAAGCGATGTTGTGTAGGCCAGCTTCTACTTTTGGCTGAAAAAAATAAGTTGTCCTACAGCATGTTTGAACTTTACACTGTGTATTCGTTTACACACACACACACACACACACACACACACACACACACACACACACACACACACACAC